AGAGAGAGAGAGAGAGAGAGAGAGAGAGAGAGAGAGAGAGAGAGAGAGAGGAGAGAGAGAAACAGACAGACATAGAAGGAGAGAGAGAAAGAGAAAGAAAGAAGAAAAAAAAAACAAACAAAGAAAGAGAGAAACAAACAAAAAACGACAACAAAAAACTAATGAAATACCACAGGAAAGAAAAAAAATAACTACACAAAGTCGGGAAATTTCCCATCGTGAGAGAGAATGCGAGGCAGCGATCACGTCCCTCAAGTTCGTCGCCGCAAGCATCTTTATCATGCAATGTGTGACGTCATCGTTTCCCTGCGGGAAAATCTCCACCGATAGGGCAAGCACGCGGGCAAGACGGCAAGCACGGCGAGGGGAGAGGTTGAAAAAGGGGGTGAGGGGGAAAGTTGGAAGGGGCGGGGGGAGTTGGAAGGGGGGGGGGGGGTTGGAGGGGGGTGAAGAGGAAGGTTGGAGGGGAGAGAGGGGGAAAGGTTGAAAGGGGGTGAGGGGGAAAGTTGGGAGAGGGGGAAGTTGGAAGGGGGGGGGGAGGGGAAAGGTTGAGAAGGGGAGAGGGGGAAAGTTGGAAGGGGTGGAGATGGGGGGGGGTGATGAGGTTGGAAGGGGGATAAAGAGAAGAGAGAGGAGGAAGAAGGGGAGAGGAGAGTTGGGGAAAGGGAATGAAAAAGGGGGACGGGAGGAAAAAGAAGGGGGTCATATGAAAGGAAGGAGGAAGGGGAAGGGGATGGAGAGAGGGAGTAGGGGGAGGGGGAAGAGGAAGGGGTAATATGATGAAAGGAAGGAAGAATGGGAAGGGGGAGATAGTATGATGAAAGGGGGGAGGGATTAGAAGGGGAGGGGGGAGGGGACGGGAGAGAGGGAGAGGGGGAAGAGGAATGGGTGCATGATGAAAAAAAAATGAGAGAAGGGGAGGAGGAAGAGAACGGTAAAGAGGGGGTGGGAGGTGAGGGAGGAGGAAGGGGTATATGATAAAAGAGAGGGGGCGGAAGGGAGAGAGGGGGGGAGAGGAGGGAGAGATAGTGCACAGGACGCCACCCGAGATAAGAACCACCAACATCCTGCCAATGAGTTGCATAATCTCCCACAACCTGCCATTACAGTAGATTTCCATATCATTTCGAAGCTATTCTCTTCTCTTGTCATCTGAAGAAGAAGAAGAAAGAAGAAGAGAAGAAAGAAAAAAAAAAAAAAAAAAAAAAAACTTTCCTCGATTTCTTTTGAGACATTTAAAGGTGAATGACTGATGACTACGTTCCACTTTTTTGTGCGTATGTCGTCGCGTCCCTACTATCTGTTCGCAAGATATAAAATATTGAACTTTCCTATCGATGAGGAGCTGTCAGGAGATAAGGCAATCATTTTCAACTCCACAGAAAAAAAATAGGTAGAGAGAGTACAAGCGCCTCAGCATTATAATGAAAATAGGACACGTTGGAACTTGACGCTAATCCGTTCCCAACACAATTTTCTCACGGTAAAATCCCTCACATTTTTTTTATTTTTTACGCAACTGCAAGACTGTCATTTGCAATAATACATTTTTTTCCTACGTTACAATGGCACACCCTTTTTTATAACATTATTCCTCCAATATATCCCAAAAATTTAATCAAATATAAGGCTGTTCCACCATTTTCGAGATGACATGAGAACTCTCCCGTGGACGCATGACTAAGTGGAAAGTAGAGTCATGGCAGACACAATGCAGTGGGGAAAAATCGATTTCTTTGGTTCATCAACCTCAATACCTTTCTCTTTCTTTTTTTTCTTTCTTTGTTTCCTTCTCTTCTTTCTTTCTTTCCTTTCTTTCCTTTCTTTCTTTTCTTTCTTTCTCTCTCTCTCCTCTCTCTCTCTTCTCTCTCTCTCTCTCTCTCTCTCTCTCTCTCTCTCTCTCAGCACACGGCACACACACACACATGGCTGTATGTGTTTGTGTTTGTGTATGTGTATCCATATGTGTCTGAATGTGTGTGATATATATGTTTAATATGTATATAGTGCATACGTATGTATACACGTACATATACATATATGTTATGTATGTAGGTAATGAACATATGTATGTGATGTATGAACATATGTATGTATGTGAACATATGTATGTAATGTATGAACTATATATGTGTATGAACATATGTATGTACATATGTATGTACGCATTTATGTATGTAATGTATGTACATACTTTGTGTGTGTGTGTGTATGTGTATGTTGTGTGTGTGTGTGTGTGTGTGTGTGTGTGTGTGTGTGTGTGTGCGTGTGCGTGTGCGTGTGCGTGTGCGTGTGCGTGTGCGTGTGCGTGTGCCGTGTGCGTGTGCGTGTGCGTGTGCCGCGTATGCGTGCTGTATGCGTGCGTGTGCGTGTGTGAATGAGTAAATAAATGAGAAAATTAATCCCACGAGCGTATTTCTCGTTTCGGAATGGCAAATCCTCAAAGCCACATGCCGGGGAATCCGTGAATACCAATCTCTAATTCTTCAAAGGATCTAATCTAACTTAGATACAATACATGCATACGTGCTTACATACATACATACCTGCATGGCTATTTACATACACATTCACAAATACACCATAAACACACAACACAAACACACACACACACACACACACACACCACACCTCACACACTCACATACACTCACACACCACAACACACACACACACACACAACACAACACGCACGCACGCACCATGACCCCACCCCACACTCCCCCCCCTCACACACAACTCCAACCCCTCACACACACTCCACCCCCCCCCACACACACACTCCACCCAACCCACCACACTCCACCCCACACACCCCCCAACACCCTCCACCACCACCACCCCACACACACACCAAGGGCCAAGACCTCGTACCTCGCCGCCGGCAACCGACTCCCCTGCCAACGCAACGCCCACGTGCTCAGGGGCCTGTTGCAAGGGCCCTGCTGACACGCGCCTGCAACCTGACCACCGTCCACCGCGCCCCGGAGACTCTGGCACTCCAGGCACTTCCGCAGGCCCTCGGACCTCCCCCAGGAGCGGCGGGGCGGCTGGCACTCGGAGGGGGCGCGGGAGAGGAGGGGGGGCAGGGAGGGGGGGCGGGAGGCGGAGGGGCGTGGCGGAGGCGCTCGTTCACCGTCAGGAGCCTCGTCAGGAACTTTTGACCATCGACTTCTTTTGGCGACGATTTTTTTTTTTTTTTCTTAAGCGGGGATAACCTGTGTCGGGAAGCATGGTCGGTATGAACGTGTAAAATAATAACAATAATAATAATAATAAAGAAAGAAAGAAAAAAAAAAACGCCTTCCTTTTAGTGGAGTAAAAAAAATGAGGGGGGGGGGGATGTCACTGTATCTGGCAAGTGACAGAAGGATGAAAGGGTGATGGAGTTCGCCTTCTGTCATCGCTCTATTCATAGTATATGATCCAATAATATATAAGATGTATTTAAAATTCGTTATCACTTTATGACAACGTTTCCGGTATATACGGTATTTTACATTCATCGCAGAGACTAATTAAAATCAAACTCGAAAAAATCCAAAAACTATTTCAATAAAACCAAGAAATTATAAAAAAAACAAAAAATAAGCAAACAAAAGCCACAAAAGCCCATTTCTAACCTCAAAGGATTATCGCAAACAAAACTCTCGTCGATTCAACGCGTGAGACCAGCCCGGTGCGTAAGGGACCCGCTCGCACGACAGCCAAGAGATGACTAGCGATGACGTACGCCGGCTGCCGTGCATGGGCTCGCGACGGAACGCATCCGAGTCCGTGCGCATGTGCCGTCGGCTGCGGGAACGATTTCGTCATTTCGTAGAACGCGGCTGGGGCGGGCGCGTACGTGAGGCATCCCGCGCGTCGCTCCTGAACCTGGCTGGCTTTCCTGAAGGCAATGGCGTCATCCTCATTTTGTCCTGGGAGGATCCTGAAAATCTTTCTTCTCTCTCTTCTCTCTTTCTCTTTCTCTCTTTTTTCTTTTCCTTCTCTCCCTCTCTCATCTCTCTCTCTCTTCTCCTCTCTCTCTCTCTCTCTCTCTCTCTCTCTCTCTCTCTCTCTCTCTCTCTCTCTCTCTCTCTCTCTCTCTCTCTTCTCTCTCTCTCTCTCTCTCTCTCTCTCTCTCTCCTCTCCAAAAACGACATATCTATCCCAACTATTCCATTTTAAGAAATAAAAATAAACCTTCGGCGTGCTAAATCCGAACGGACTAAAGAGCTTTGGAAAGTCAGGTGAGAAGTCAGGCAGACGTAACCGGACGCGGCCCCTGGGAAGGTTAGCCCCGCCCCCTTGCATCCAGACAGCGCCGGGACCACGTGACTCGAGGCATGCTATTTCAATCAGACTTTCGTCAACTCAATAATGCCCGTTGGAGGCTTCGCAAGTCGGAGAGGATTTTTTTTCGAATTAGGTCACGCCATTCACGAGGAATTGCTGTAATTTCTTATTTTTCTCAAAATGCATTTGTTTCACAGTCAGTTGCTGTCGAGGTATATGTTCCAGTACAGGTAACTTACACTTTTTCGTCTGTTATCCATGCAGTGGAACACCACGCACACACCACACACACACGCACACACACACACACAGCACACACCCACACACACAAACACACACACACACACACACACACATGCACACACACCACACGCACACACACACACACACACACACACACACACACACACACACACCACACACACACACACACACACACCTCCTCTCTCTCTCTCTCTCTCTCTCTCTCTCTCTCTCTGCTCTCTCACACACACACACAGACACCCTTTCATTCCCAGAAGATCCTCCATAAGAAAAGTGGAGACTATAATTTCCTAAAATTACATCAGACCCAAAGAACTGATGCAATGACAAACTCTAATAAACTGTTGAGTAAAATTAGCCGAAGTAAGAACAAGGGGAAAAAAGGGAGGGGGAGGGAGGGAGAAAAGGGAGAGAAGAAAGAGAAAGAAAAGCCAGAGAGACAGAACCAGGACAGGAAG